ATTTTTGCAAAACTGCAAAATTGTTCCATTTTGACTCCTATGAAGCAGAAACAATTTGAATTTTTTCACCAAATTGTTCTTCTGTTTATTATAATTATTCCGTCAATTATTAGAAACCTGCCATCTCACTAATGTAGCAAGCAGAGGCAAGTCTGTAGATGCATAGAAGTACAGCAAGTTTTTTGTCATTTCATCTATCTCTGAAGACCCCAGACCTCTTGGGATAAGATGTGTGAGTGGACTCAGCCTTGTCTGGGAATGACAGGGTTAGGGAGGCAAGAATGTGCTGGGTCATAGGGCAGGAATGGATGTAATGCTAGGATTCTACGCCTTTCAGACCTTCCACAGACAGCTCATTGTTCCGCCCCCTGCTGCTCTTGTGTCCTGTAAACACTGGCTGTGGGTGGGAGAGGGGATAATGATGTTTCTCTTAATTACTGCAAGTAGGTTGAAGGCTGGAAATGGTTCAGGACCCTCAACTGAGACTTTAAGGCTACCCCCTAGCAAGACATAATGCTTGAAGGAGAAGCCAAGCCAACAGGAGCCGGAAAGCCAGACCAAGTCCAAGCTGAGCAGGAAGAGGGTTATCCTCAAGGATAGGGAATATAGTTATGAGTACCACCTGCACAGCTGTTGGATACCAAACCAGCTGCACTTGCTGCTGTTCCAGCAATGGGAATCTCACTACACATCTCAGTCAATCCACATGAATCCTGTCTTGCAGCACCTCCTCTTATGCATGTCCAGCTCAGCACACACAGCTCTGGCAATACATGTCAACCTTTCCTGATAAACATATGCTAAGCATCATTTGGAACTTTTCCTGGGGTGCCTTCATACTAGTCTCCTATTCCAGTTCTGGGGAGCCTCCATTCATACAGGTATGCCAGTGCCTGGAGACCTCAGTCCTGGTCCCTAGCATCCCATGCCTTTTCAGTCCTGAGGTCCTGCTGACTTTGGGGGAAGTTGTTGTCAGTTCCCAGGAATGCTATGGAACCAGAGAGAGGAAAGCCTGACCTTTCCCTTTGATGAAGAACCATATCTCAGATTTACACATTGAATCTGGCCATAACATTGCCAGAAAGAAGTCCCTATAACAGCAGTGGAGACCTTAATGCATCTTAAAAATGGCAATTTTGGGCTAATCCTGCTTAAAAGGGCCACATGTCGACAAGCCCAGTGAGAATTAGGGATGAGAGCCAGATGCTTCTGTTCCTTGTTAAGAGCATGGTTAGAGTTAGAAAGCATAACCCCGGACTTCTGGCATGTGACATGCTCATAACTCAAGCAGGGCTGGGTCTGACCAGTTCTTGGCTAGAAAATCTTCAGATCTTCAAATATTCTTGGCCAGAAAACCCAGATGCAGCAGAAAGCAGTGCTAGGAGCTCAGCAGGTGACCTATGCTAGTACTTTAGCAATGTCCCACCATGTTTCTAGGTAATGCAGTGCTGACAGAGGCACCCATCTTTCAAAAGAGAGATAAAGCCAAGGCCCTGAACTTCTCACACCCATATGGCCAAATTTGTGAGAACAAGTGTCAACCCTGCTGTCCTGGCTCTGTTCTAACTTTGACCAGTACATTCTGATGCTCTAAAAATTCTCCTTTAGTCTCTGTTGAACCAGGTCCAATTCTAATTGTTGGACAGCACTGCTACCGGAGAGGAACCACCATGTCCCTCCCCAGCAGAGGCGGAAGTAAGGGGAGTGCATGTGTGGTGAAGAAACATTACTCCCCATTCTCTCCTTGGGCAGGGACTTGCAGTACTCCAAAACAGCGCCTTCTCCTTCAGAGCTGATACAGGAAGAATTCCTCTTCCTGTTTCAATGTATTTTAACTACTATACCCCAGAAGTGGTTGCAGTTAGTGGCTGAGCCAGCCTTATGAAGCTGGCCTGTAAAAAGCTTTGTAGCCTGCAGCTGAAAGATGCTCTGTGGAAATGCCAGTCGCTAATATACTCATGTGACCCAAAGCCCTTTTGATTCCCTTGTCCTTGTTTTTCATTTCCTAGCCTGGCATTTCATGACTGTTCTCATTCACTCCCTGCCCACTCCTTCTGGCTGCTGGGGCCAGCTGTGTCCGTCTGGAGCTCTCCAACTCTCTTGCTCCCACTTTTGCCCTGAACAAAGCTGGGAAAAATCTCCTAGAATGAGGAGAGACAAGGAGAAGGCGCAGGCATCAGGAGGGATGGGTAGAAAGTGGAAAGGGTCTGGACCCTTCTTTGTGCCTACTTCAGATAGAGAGGAAGCCAGGAGGCCTGGCTGCCTTCTGGTCAGTGCTCCCAGCAGGTGCTGATGTAGTTAAAGCCTCCCACCTGGAACCAACAGTCTGTGGGAGATTTGTGGATAGACTGCTGCCTCTTGTAAAAGTGGAATAGACCTGACAAGCTGCCATCACAGTCACTGCTCTCCAAGAGCCAGGTAAGCTCTTACCTTTCTCCTTCATTGTACAATTCTCTTCTGAGAGCTGCATCAAGAGGCCAAAGAGCGGGGGAAATCTGAGACTTCCTTGAGCTGTTCAGGACTTTACATCTGAGGCTGTCCTTGCTCTGGCCAGCTAGTTCAGTATCCTGGGGAGATACTAGAGAGAAAAGCAAAGTAACCCTGAAGAACACTGCTGGATAATTCTGGTGGGCTTGGGGGAATTTCTTCCTGACCCTAGCTGCTGCTTAGTGCATGCCCAGAAGCAGTTCGGTTGACAGTCCCTGTAATTGTCAGTCTTCAAGGCAGGGTTGAGGTATCCTGGTAGAGGGCAGTATATGGAGGAACAAGTGATGACCTTGCCTATTTGGTCCAGCCAGTGCAGGCCTTGCCAGTAGCATTAATCTGCTCTGCTATGCAGATGGAGACTGATGCTTCCTTTGAATTTGTTTGTCTAGGAAAAATAGAAGTACCAAGAGTTTGGGATGGACAAGGACTTGGCTTCCTCCCCTCACAGGGTCCGCAAATATAATCCCACTCTGGGAGCTGCTCCCAGCTCCAGTCGCATCCCAGGGTTGTCTGTCCGGCCCATGGGAAGTGGGGGACTTGTGCCCCTCAGTCCTGTGCTGAGGAAAGAAATCCGCCTGGACTCTTCCAGCCAGGATGCCACCCGGCCAATCCCCCTTGTGAAGGGGAGACCAAGCACCAAGCCCAGCTGCAGAGTTGGAAACTCCAAGGAGCAGAGCAGAGCGGAGCTGCCCATCCCATGCCCTCTCCCTGCTGTCTCCAAAGCCCAACCATGGACAGCAGCCAATGGTTTGGCACCCAGGAAACTGACTGCCATCTCACTAACGCTTCGCCGCAGCAGCTGTGACCCTGCACCTGACCGGCGTTGCCTCTCACCAGGCACAGTGAGGAGGGAGCTCCGGGCTCCGCTGGGGAAGGAAGCACTAGGAAGAGGGGAGGTGCCTTTGCCATGTCTGCAGCCATTACCAGGGTTACCAACACTGCCCCAGCGGATACCCCTTAGCTGCATGGAGATGAGAACGGACATCAGGCAAAACAGTGCCCTAACACCAGGCTCAGAGATGCCCACCGCTTTGCTACACTCTGGCCCACGCTTCCGGAGATGCTTGGCCCCTATTTCTCCGCTTCCTCCTGTGCCACATCCCATGGACCCATCCATGACAGCAGTGGATAAAGAGGACCATGTGACTGCCAATCAGTACAGTGACCACCATGGCACAGAAGCTCCCCCAGGGCTCGCTGGCAGTGAGAGGATGCCAAGCCCTGTTTTTAAGTTGTGTCCAGAGAGGAAGGCTCTGAGGGGGCAGCTCTCTGCAGCAGATACCACAATGCCTAGTGTTATGGGCACAGCTGGGTCAGCATGTAAGTCCAAAGAAGGGAACTAGATTCAGTTGGGTTTGGAGGGAGAGTGGGGTGAGGGGGCCTTTCTTGAAACATGGGGACATATGAAGGAAATAAAAGGGAAGAGAGAACTGTTTGACATGTTCACAGTTCGTGAAATCATATCCTGACTTTATAATGTTTTGCATAGTGATGTCCCAGCTACCACACAATCCTGCTGGAGCAAGAAATACTGCTGGCATGGGGCCAGTTGGCTGTTTCTTTGTCAGATTCTTCTGGATGATTTTCCTTCCTTTGATATTTTTTTATCACACTTCATAATATTAATGGTACATTTATACATAGTACCTAAAGGGCTAATGAAGGATCAAAAGAGGTAATCATATTGCTGGTATAAATAATATGTGAAACAGTACATCAGAAAAAAATGTTATAGATAGCTGCCTGCCTATCTATAACATGCATTTGATGCTTCTTAGGTGTCACCTGGCTCCAGTTCTCTGCTCTTCCCTCCCTGTGCTAGTTATAGGGTCACAGTGATATGCTCTCTCAACACCCCTTAGTCTCTGAGACTGCTCAGGGACCTGATCTGCCCATGGTATACCTCCTTGCCTACCACAGAGAGATCTAGTATCCTGTTAGATGCAAGAGCTATTGATTAACCATTTCATAACACATCCAGTATTCATTTATAAACAGTTTATATTTTCCCCCTCAATATAAAGTAGATACAATCATGACTTGAAAAATAAGAGGTTTTTTTAAGCCTTATCAAGAAATAAGTCTGCTAGCACTTGATGCCCACCCCTGGCCTGGCCTTCCTCCAAGGGGATTCCATCCCTGGTGCATGCTGGGATTTCACAGCAGGGATGGGCAAACTTTTTTTTTGATTGTGTCTTGGTAACTTGAACAGAAAAGGCAGCTGATGCTTTTTAGGTGATTGTGTGACAAGCAGAGAAATAACTAATTGAAATAACTAATGCTCCAGCTATCTCAGGCACTGCTCCTTCATCATGGCACCTGCGCTTGATGAAACCAAGGGTGAATCTCTCGGGGGTTGGGGCCTGCACACTTTCAGAGGAAAGCCCCTTTCCCGAGGAATTCCTGTCCACCAGATATCAGAAAAAGCATTTATGGCCAGGTTTCAAATTGATGTCTCTAAGCAGGCCCTTCCTGCAGGATGGTGATGCCACAGCAGCCTGGCAGAACTTCCCTAGGCAATAAACAGTGGAATAATCCCACCCCTGAGAGTGGCAGATATTGTGGGAGGAAGGAGGGCATAGCCCTGTCAGGCAGAAATTAATTTCCTTAATCCTGTTTGTGGGGCCTAGGTAGCATGCTGCCAAGCGTAGTATAAATACGCAGACAGATGGGCGGACATCATATGCTGGAAGCAGCAATTTGAGATCCGATTTGTAGTTAGCCCCTAAATTCACTCTGACGTCAGGCAGACGCAAGTGGCCAGCTTCGTGGGCAGCTGCTTACCCTCGTGGAAAATCCATGCCAAGTGCTGCCAGTCTGATTTAGCAGCGTTCTACACCCCGCCTTGTGCCAGCTGTGCCCCGCTCTCTGCTCCTTCCTCCCTGTGCTAGACACAGGGTCATGGTGATAAGCCCTTTCAGCACCCCTTAGTCTCTGCTGCCTAAGGACCTGATGTGTCCCTTGTATAAGTGACAGAAGCTCACAGGCCCTTCTATGGCACTGCAGCCTGGGAAAGCAGGAAAGCAGTGTCCTCAGACTCCCTCCCACCTTGTCTCTGCCCCCAGCGCTTCGCTGCATCAGAGGCTGCAAGGAGGAGTGGCAGCTCTGTGTCAGGTAGGTGAGGACCCTACATCAGATGGGAGAGGATTTCCCTGAGGGGTCAGTTTTGCCCATTCAGATGCCTTTTGTCTCCACCACTGGAGCAGCACAGAGTCAAAAAATCAAACCAGCTTTTTGCAGGAGGAAGGCAAACCAGAATCCAGCCCAGCAACCCCCACAGAGATGCATGTTAGATCCATCCACCTCAATATTCATCCACAGACACAGGCAGGCTTGCACATGCACAAAGGCACAGACAGACACAGATGCCTACAGGCACACACAGAGACATACTATATGCACAGTGACACAAAGACACAGATCTCCTTGCCCATGCTGACACACAGGCATTCACCTGCAGACTCTGCTTCTCCATTGCCCTCCATACTCACATCCAGGGATGCAGGCTCACACTCTGCTTCTGTGTCTGGCCAGCATGGATAGCAACCAGATACCCTGGAGTGGTGGTGCCCAAGGACAAAATCCCCAGGCTGGGATACCTGATTGGCTTCAGCTGAATCGCTCCTGATTTTCCACTGTGTCAGTGAGGCCAGAATCTAGCCTTGGGACTGAGATCCCCTACAGGATTCCCTGCCTATTCTTAGTGCTTTCTTAGCACAGCCCTCCAGCAGCCTGGGAAAGGGTTAAACATCCCTCTGAATAAACAAGTGGCTACGTCTAGAGATGCTCTGCAGGCAGAAGCATATGAGAATCGCTTGGGAATAGGGAGGAGAAGAGGGAGGGAAAATGGGTGTGGGGGAAGCATTTTCAGGGCATGTCTAGCCCATTCATTACAGCACCTCCCTTCCCCACTGTGGTGCCCACCAATCCAGGGAGGGTCTCTCAGCAGCTGGGCTGAAGTCCTAGATCCTAGGAAAGGAGGGAGGCAGAGCGTAGGGGAGATTTTGCAGGGATGTTTAATATTCAGGTCACATGACCATGGCAGCAGCGGCAGCAGCAGCATCCTTGCTTATCTGAAATATCCAGTGGAGGAGAGGAAAAAAAAGAGAGAGAAGGAGAAAGAAAGAGAAAGAGAGAGAGAAAAAAGCAGAGCTTCTTAGCCAGCCAGGCTGCATTGGTGTCTGGATAAAAAAGTGGGGGGGAAATCCCACCCCTCAGGAGCAGATTCAAAGACAAAGAAAGATTCATGTTCAAAGGTAGGTGGTCCATGCGAATGCTCGCGTGGTTCTGGCAGGGCTCAGAGATGCTGGAGGGATACCCTGATGGTGCAACCTCGCACACATCACCACGCACCTATACACCACCATGGGCACTCTGCATGCAGGCTACGGGGGCTGGGGAAGGAGGGAAAAACATTTCGTTCATGCCTTTCTCTTTCAATGGCTAAATCTGGTATGAAGGAGAGAGCAGGGGCAGTCGCGGCAGTGATGCTGAAGAGCGGTCACAGAAGCTGCTCCAAGGGAAGGAAATGATCCCAGCTGGTCTAGGGGTGGGAAAAAAAATGCAAGCTGCTTTGTAACTGGCTCGGCCCTTGCCGTTCACTGGCGGTTGCTCTCTAGGCAATATGAATGTCACAGTCTAATCCCCAGGCATCAGAGGGGACAGAGTGGGTGGGGCAGGGCTCCTAGACACACACGTGGGCCCTGGGGGCTGATAGGGAATTAGAAGCTCATGATCCCAGGCCCCAGACTGGAGAGCACTCTCAGGGTTCCTGGGGAATATCCTCCCAAGTGGGTGGTGGGGTCCATTGACTGCAGGCTATCCATCGTCAGAGCCCTTTAAACCTAGGTTGGATGGGAGAACAAAGAGCAAGCCTAGAGCAGGAGTGGTGGACTGGGGAATGATGCCCTAGTAAGTCGCCTTTATTTCTGGTGTCTGTATCTTCATTGAGGCACCAATATGCTCTGCCCTAAATTCACCACAGGTTGGGGAAATGGGTTTCTGTCCAGCCTAGGCACAGCTGGATTCTGTGGAGGGCACAGCTAAAGAAGGCTGACTTTGGGGAGCAGCCTCAAGGAGGTGGAATAAGTGTCTCTTTCCCACTTGTAATGCCCTTGTCCTTAGCTGGTGGAGGAAAAAAAATTACTGCACTTATGACTATTCAATGTTGCTAGGTATTGGCTTGGACTAGAGTGACCTGTGGTGTAGACTGCATGATGATTATGTGGAATAAACAGCTACTTTGAAATCCCAAGACCTGAGGGTTGTTTTTCTAATGCATGGTCAAGTAAAGACAATGTTACATATACCATTTCTCTCTTTGAATTACTATTACTATAATAACTCTCTGTTTGAATAGTAAGGCCTGCAGGATGCATGGACGTTTTGCTTTGATAGCAACCCTTTAGTTTCCCAGGGATGGAGATTAGTGTATGTGGGGCTAAATCCTGTGACTGTGAAATCAAGGGGCCTCATTCTCATTTACAGACTGAGGCCTTTGAGCTATCTTGTCAGCAGAAAGGACCTTCAAGAGCATGAAAGCTGCCAAGGCAGTGTATGGGGGACTTCATTTAAATGGGAATTTTGCCTCTGGCTTCAGTAAGGGCAGGCCTTTGCTGAATGGAAGGAGACAGACACTCTAGTTGTATTACAGGAGGATTAAATAGTATTTCATTACCAGAAGCTGGGTTTTTTGTGGTTGACTGGCTCTTCCCTTCCTTCTGTGATGCTACTCAGACACAGAACAGGAGGCAGAGGAAGGCGATGGAGGAACTTTTTCATATCTAGGTTATTGGTTCTAATCTGCCCCTAGGACAGACTTGACTGAAAGTCATTTCCATCTGCTTTCCATTCAGTGTCATGAGTTTGGGACTATCTTCAGGGCTAAGTGACTACTGTAAATGTAAGTGGTGGACACATTAGATGAATGAATGTTAATGATGCCGAACAGTAGGTGTGATGATGACTATTTATTATTTGGCAGCACTCACAGTGTTCTTATCCACAGACCTCAATGTACATGACTCAGTGTAAAGAACAGAGAGCCAGCTGTACCATTCTCTTTGAGCACATCCCCCCTTAGGGGTTAGACCCCTTGCTTTTACTTGCTTTGGGGTGAAATCTCACAATTCTCCTATTCTTAGGGCACAGACAATTTGCCATGAGGCAGAGGTGGGCAGGGTTTTACTATATGTCAGCTGCTCTGCTGTAAGTTCCCATAGCCATGTGCTCACCCAAAAGTGTAACTAAGAATTTTGGCACTGGGGGGTTGGAGGTGCTGGGCTGCGGTGAGCTGGGGGTTGAAGTGCAACTAGAAAATCTCCCCTCATGTGAGTCACTGTCATGGCCATTGATGCTGGTGCCTTAGTGCAGGCTTCTGGCACACAGGCCACTGCTGCCACGATGTGGGTTGCTTCTGTCACCCCAAGAGAGCCTCTCTCCCGCCCCAGCTTGCCATTCTGGTGCCTCTTCTATATCAGTGTCCAGGGCTGGTGCCCCACTTGCCACCCCTATTTATGCTACTACATTCACTTCATGATACATAAAAGTGAACCTGTGGTAGCTTAGCCCTCAAGTCAAGCCCAAAAGCCTTGAAATCACTGGCTTTATGGCTTTACCTACCTATGGGGAAGTGTGTTGAATTACCAGAAAGGGTGTGTCCATTGTGTGCCAAAGCAACTGCTGGATGTGCATAAATGTCACACACAGATGTTTACTTCCCTCTTACAGTCCAATACACTATCTTGGGAGTCAGATAAAGAAATACCACACTGTATGAAATCAGTACTTGTTAGTGAACACCCCAACATTTGTCACAATATGGTAGTGCCATCCACGGGCAGATCTAGGATTTTGAAGAAGAGGGTAAAGGTGGTGTGGCACATCCTCACATAACACAACACACATATTTCTCCACTTAAAAAAAACTACAAGCTTTACTAATATCGTAAGGGGCTAGACCTACATTTTTCAGTTTATGATCAAAGCAAAAAACAAATGTAATTATTGGAACATGCACTAATTTGCTAGAGTATATATAAAGTTTTAAAAACCAGAACAAACTAGGCAAAAATAGGCAAAGGCTATTGTATCATTAGTTGTTTAGTCATTATAGTTACCCATACATCTCTTATTCAGATTGATAAAACAAAATCTAGCCTTCTTGAGTGTCTTGACAGTGCCCCTGATACTTCACTGTCAGTCATTTCTACACCTGAGTGACTATTACTACACCTGAGTTAAGGTTTTTAGCTAGAGCTAAAAACAGCCTGCAGGGCTGGGAAACAGAAAAGAGACATTAGCAGGAATAGCTAACAGTTGCAGAAGAAAGGGTAGTTTGAACACTGAAACATCAAGGCCATTAAAAAGGAGAGAGGGTTGTTAAAACCTGTGGAGCAGAGAGGGAGTTACTGGAATTAGGGGGAGGATAATGAGCCATGAAGTGAATTGACTCAGCACTGCCTAACTAGAAATGCCACTGCCTCTCCTAGGCAGCTGGTTTTAAAGTTTAGGTCGGGGTTGGCAATGTTTTTGGGCAGAGCGCCAAAAACACCCGCAACCACGACTTGTAAGATGCTGGCATGCCAGGGGCGGATGGCAGGGGAGCTGCTAGGGGCCTGATCCTTCTTGTGGCAATGCTGCTCCAGCTCCTTCCTTGCCATCTGCTCTGAGGTGCATGTGCACCTGCCGCCAGCAAAGAATCAGGCTGTGGCTCCGCAGACCCCAGTGCACCCATTTGCAGCCTCCTGGCTGCCTGCCACAGCTGGCCCAGGCACTGGGCAGGCCCTTGCTGCCCGCCACAGTGTCCGACCTGCTCACACTAGGCAGCAGGGAGGCTTCAAGCAGCTGTACCAAGGTCCCCAGAGCCCTGGCCTGGCTCATTGGCAGCAGCAGATGCACACATACCTCGAGGCAGATGACAGGGAAGGGGCCAGGGCCACACTGCCACAACAAAGATTGGGCCTCTCACAGCTCCCCCGCTGTCTGCTCCAAGGCACGCATACCAGGCAAAATGCTTTCATGGCCATGCTCTGGCACAGGTGCTGGGGGTTGTCTACCCCTGGTTTAGGTGAAGCAGGAATCAAAGGGGGCATGCAACTGCACCACTGCACTGCTCCTCCCCTCCCCTCCCCACTGCCCCAGATATGCTAATGGTACCACCCTTGTTTTACTGTTATAATGACAGTGGGACACATGTTCACATCACAAAGACACCAGAGTAGTTCGCATCGTAGGCCCCATGCTGGCAATTTTATTACAAAGATCAAAGGTGGCTGGGGCATGGTAATTCTGCAAGCTCAGGGCTTCTGTATTGAATGGGATACAAGAAGGGAGAATAAGAGCAATAGAGAGAGGCAATGAAGCATTGCCAAACTCAAACCCTATAAAATCATGAGCTAGCCCCCACCCAAATCTTGAGATCTGTATAAAAGTCAGGAGGTATGTTAAAAATTATAAGTGGGGAGATCTTTTCTTTTGGTTTTGTGGTCTTTAGGGCACAAGTCACTTTATAGTTTCAAACTTTCCTCAGCAACTGCGAGGGATAGAAACTTACAGTTTTAGATTGAGAAAGCTGAGATTCTCTCACAACCTTTTGACTCCAACAGGTTGGGCTGAAAGAAGAACACCAAATACATAAGTAGACTCTCAGTTGAACCCCAAGAGCTGGCTTCTTTGGGGATGGGAGGACAAGGGTTCTAGCAATATGATGATAATGCAGTTACTTGCGGCAAACTTCTTGGAGTCTTGTTTATGGCTTCCTCCTCACCAGCTAGAGTAGAAAAAAGGAAGATGCTGAGTGAGTGACTCACTGGTGGTAGGCAGTGAAGGGCTCAAAGCCTGGAGTAGATATGGAAATGCAATATACTTGTTTTCATGGATGTTCCCAGGCACTCCTGAGCTATACTTGTGCCTCAGTAAGATATGTCTGTTCAGCATAGTGAGCTATATCATTAGAAACCAACCTTTTTGGCAGGCATGTCACAAATTGGCCCCACACACTCCCCAAGTGTCACTTCAATGCCTTTCTCCTGCCCAATTTGCTGCTCTGCTTTCTGCTTCCTTCCCTCTGCTCCCTGCCCAATTTGTTTCCCTGTTTTCTGCTTCCTGCCCTGTCAGCCACTGTTCTGCTTGTCCCCTGATCTGTTGTGTATCACACAAGAGAGGCTGCCCAATGCCCATGCCATTTGTGGCACCTCTGCCATAAGTTGGCTGCCCCGGAGCTACATGATAAGGACAAATATTGATTATTGAATAT